TTATTAGCTCAGAAAAATAAAATTTATAACCAAAAATAAAAATTGGGGTGTCAAAGGGAAAGAGGGGTCAAGTGATATCTCATATAAAGGGTCATTCTCAATAGTTTTTGTTTTTGAAACTCGATCCACTCGTTAAGAAAATTATGGAGCCTTAAAAGTTCTTTTCCATTCTGTAATTCCTTGCGGTACGTTTTCTATGGGCCTGTATATCTATTATCGGTAGGAATTTTATCAGTTTTCCCTTTCTTGTAGTTTCGGTTAAAAAGTCTCTAAAAAAACGTTGTGCATACGTATATTAAATACATTGTCCACTCCCGGTATTTAAGTTCGTATAGTTGTTGTTTGCCTTTAATAATCTTTTTTGTAATATATATGTTATTTTTATACAACCCTCTTTATTTAATTAAGAACTAAACAAACATTTTTCCATCACAAATTAAACAAATTAAGTCATCGTGTGGCTTTGCATTTGTTTACAGTCATAATTTGAAAAATGACGTTGAAATTTTAAAATAAAAAGTAAGGGACAGAATTAATTCTGTTTCTCAAGATACCATAAAAAAGGTTTACAAATAATTTTTACGCAGAGCTGAAAAAAGTGTTGTACTGTTGTGCTTCATATTGACAAATATGTTGAAGAATATAAAATAAATCACAGTTTTTTCATTATTTCACTAAAAGAAAGAAATATTTATCTTTTGTTTGGATTATTATTTTTAAAACAAGCAAAAACTTTTATGAAGAATTTCAATTTCTATAAAGATTGAAATAAAAATGTTTTTATAATGTATAATAAATTAAATTGACGTTAACCTTTCTACATTTTGTATTCTCCTTTAATACATCTTATCTTATTCAAATTTCCTTAAAAATCTCCTTTACATTTCCTTCTAATATTTATACCATTCCAAACTTTTTTAATTTATTATTATCCGATTTTTTACTGACAATTCATTAATCACGCTGACTTTTCCGCAGTTTTTTTTTAATCAAAAGATTATTTCACATTAAGTATAGTCCAGTCAAACTTGACTCTCGTTTCCTTTTACTAAATCTACAGGGTCGCTGTTATGTATGGAAACGGTTGATTATCTTTTAAAGTAAGATAGCTAGCCAAAAATGCTAAATCAGAAAATTTTATGTTATGTAAAATTCTATTACAATAAAGACAAATTACGTATTCGCTCCGTGCGCGACAGCAGCGTCAATTCGTTTTGGTACTAATGGACTATTTCTGCCTATACTGACAAATACAATTTTTAATAGAATTCGTAATTAAAAAGTATATATGTTAGTTTTAATAAAAATATATGGATTTGTAAAACAACTAAAACATTAATTTATTATTATATATTTTTATTGCTAAAATTAAAGAAAATTATGTATAATCAATAAAATGTTTGTCGTTTGAACCATCTGAATATCATTTTACTTCATCTACAAATCAATAAAACTAAACACCGTCACTTAAACTATAACACGAACACTGTGACTGTTGGCTCGTGGATGAGTGTGAACGAGGCCTGGAACTCACATACCAGAGAAGAGTCAAATGTTCTCTATTGGACAGGGTTGGCTCGAAAGATTTGGTGAAAGACCAATCCGATTTAATATTTTTTTTATATTTAGTTTGCCGGAGCAGTTAAAATTATTGTAGGAGGCGGAGACGAGCAGTGGTGGCGCCCAGGGTTTTCCGTACATTTATTTTATTTTTTAATAAAGAACTAATGTGTTTTATTACAACTTTAATATTTTTTTTATGTTTAAAAAAATATTTTTGTTTATGTCGTAATTTCCACAAACTTTAAATAAATAAAAATCAACATGATGTTTTGAAATATTTTTCCACAGCTCGTAATACTTTGCAAAATTTGGCAATTTCATAAAACTTAACAAATCAAATAAAATCGAAATTTTTTTCAACATAAAGTAAATTAAATAATAATTTTTCCTACGACCACTTAGGAAAGTGACACATATCACACTATATAGACCTATGGAAAGTGCCCTATATCACACGCGTATGAATAAGAATTTACTTTCCACCCAAGTGAGAATATGCTACTTTCCGCAGTAGCTGTCAGAAAATGTCAAACACATAATTTCTATTTTGATCTATGTAATGTCCATATTAATACTAAAATCGATATGATTGTTAAATTATTGTAAATTAGATCCTAGATATTTATCTTTAACAATTATTTTTAAAATAATTTTAAAATAACTAAGATATATTTGCTTTTTATTCTGGTTAAACACATAAGCGATTAGATCAATCAATTACCGTAAGGCCTGTTAGCTCAGTTGGTTAGAGCATCAACTTTGCAATTTGAGACCGTCCAACGACCGCGATCGAATCCTGGCTGTGCCAGATTTTTTTTTATTTTTTTTTAATTTTTTTTTATTTGTTTAGAAATTATGAAAATTTAATAAATACGATTATTGTTGATTATTTTTTTAAATACATTTTAATTATTATAATAATCTGGTTTTACATTTTTTGATGAAATTATTTTGTGGTCGTAGGAAAAATATTGTACATCACTTGTGTGAAAAGTGATTTTCCACACTCGTAATGTAATATACTATATTTTCGTCTTATATTCTACAATATATTTTTGTTAATTACTTACCACCATTTTGTAGTTTTCGTCCTCCTTTAACTAATTTTCTAGTTCTTCAAGGTCAATTTCTGGCCTTACAGGATTCTTTTTATAGAAAGGGTGTAATTCTGCTAACACTGTATTTTAGTTTTAATTCGCCATTAGTATAACAGATCACTTACTTAAGTATTAACCATATTATTAAATTCACCCTGGCAATTCATATTTGGGATATCCTGTGTTCTAACATCACTTATAGGTCCCAAAAACTACAAATATAGTAAAATTTGTTTATTTTTATATAGAACACTCGGTGCAATTAATTTTCATTAATTTATTTACCTCAAAAAATTTGTAAGGTATATTCTTCTTCTTTTTCTTCTTCTTCTTCTTCTATTTAGGTTGTGAATGCTTTTTGGCTTAAACACTCAACATTAGTGCGTTTGCTAGCGAATTATCAGATCGTCATCTATGAAAAATTCATAAAGATATGTATATAAACGTGTTTTACATGTTTTTGGTGTTAATTTTTACCTGTAAGCATTTAGAACATTCTTAGAATATCAGGTACATGCTGGGTATATGAGTTTTAGTATCTTCTAAAAATCCCATTATAGCATGTGCTCAGTATATTCTTTTTAGAATATACTTTTAAAGCACGTACTCAGTATATACTTTCTAGGATATACTTTCAAAGTATACATATACTAGGTATATTCTTAGAACATTCTAGAAAGGACATACTAAAAAGAACACAAAGAGAAAGTTCTTGGTATATTCATAGAAAATTGAGGTTATGTGGGCGAGTTATTGTTTAAGATGTTGACGCAGCTGAAACTTTTTTGTCTCGTTACCTTTTATAATAAGAGCAATTATTTAGATTAATTAATTAGAGCGTTTAATATACAAGTTAGTATTGTTCGTAAAGCTGACTTTTTAAGTTTAAATTTGAAAAATAGAGCAATTTTAAAAATGATTAATGGGGGTCATTAAATAAACGTTTTTTTCGTAAATTAATCAAACTCATCTGAAAAAAGTAAGAGGCGCAAAGCCTTCCAATTTCTCTAAAATACCTTTTAATCGAGTTCTTTTATTTCCGTCGGAAAATTCCATGTTTATAAATAGGTCTAATTTCTAAATAAGCTTAATAAAAAAGAAAAAAAAACAATAAACTCATTCTCCAGTATTAGTCTGGTTCACAAGTACCATTTCTCTCGAAACCTGTCCTCAAGCACCGAAAATTATGATTTTGGACTAATTCGATTCAGAATGGCATTTAGAACATTCTATCAAAATTCCAAGAGGGGCTGAAAAAAAATGCAAAAGTTATAAACAATAAAGTAAAATAAAAAATAAGGGCTTGGTTTTTTGGAAATATTTCAAAAACTATTTGAGATAATCGAAATTTGAAAAAAGATCCTTAAAGAACAAGAAATTTCCTAAAAAAAGTCCTACCTCCCGGAACTGTACCAACAACCCTTATAATTTTAATTAAGCGGCGAAAATAACGGTAAAAACGCGTGGTTCGGCTGCCGCGCGCATTGCCCCAATCTGACACATGAACTAAACAAATTATTTTAACTAATTAAATATTAATATTAAGCAATAAAAAAATTTGGGTACTAAGTAGACATGAATAAACAATAATCCGTAAACAAAAAATTTTTATCACAACTTTTTTATTAATTATGCTTTTGTTAATTAGTTAATTTTCACCATTTTAATGTTAACATAAAAACGCTGATTATTTCAAAACAAGAAATATAGAATTTTTTTTGATTTTTTGAGCTATTGTTAAAAGAGTATAGAAGAGATCCCCGTTGGAAAAATTCAAAAATTTTGATTTTCACTTTTTTATTAACAATCAAAGGCATGTGTCAGATTGGGGCGATGCGCGCGGCAGCGGAACCACGCGTTTTTACCGTTATTTTCGCCGCTTAATTAAAATTATAAGGATTGTTGGTACAGTTCCGGGAGGTAGGACTTTTGTTTAGGAAATTTCCTGCTCTTTAAGGATCTTTTTTCAAATTTCGATTATCTCAAATAGTTTTTGAAATATTTCAAAAAAACCAAACCCTTATTTTTTATTTTACTTTATTGTTTATAACTTTTGCATTTTTTTTCAGCCCCTCTTGGAATTTTGATAGAATATTCTAGATGCCATTCCAAATCGAATGAGCCTAAAATCATAATTTTCGGTGCTGGAGGACAGGTTTCGAGGGAAATGGCACTTGTGAACCAGACTATATCTTTTACGTCCTGAAATAAACTCGTTCTTTTTAAACGTACCTATTCAAGTGTTTAGTACATTAATGCTCATCTACTTGCCGGCTTGCGGTGACATTTTGAAGGAGTTAGTAGTCCGAGAATTTGATGTTATTGCGTTCTTTGTTTCAGTGTACGTGTTTGTCGGGGAACACATCGCTTTAATAGATTTCATCAAGTGTCTCCAAAGGAGAAAACTGCTCGAGACCGGAGACTACGTCGTCATATCCGTCGACGATGAAATTTACGATCCGAACAGGAGAATAAAGCTAATTCGAAGGGGTGAGTACAAATTATTATTTTTATTCCAGACTTTATAAAAGTCTAATTTGTCTCAATACGGGACTGGAAATAGCAGATTACTCGTTTTATTTAACATAGGCTTTGTTTGAAGCCAATATCTACGAACTTTTGACAGTTTTGGTCTCCATGGGTGTATCAAATAGTTTTTTTCATCAAAATCCAAAGGATTATTTTGTAAATATTTTATTAAAAATGCATCTAAAACAAAGGTTGAAGTGACGAGGCATTAAGACTTTGAGTAGTGGCATTAATTTCATTCAGATAATATATTTACATTTAAATAAAACACTAAAATAATTTAACTGTAGCTTTATTAGTATAAAATAGTAACATTAAAATTTTATATAAAAACGTCCCCAACTCTAGCAATATTTTCAGTAATTTGTTATCGATTTAGGTTTTATTTTTGTTTTAATAAACTAAAAGATTTCTTTATCATAAATAACAATTTTCATAAATTCATAAATGTCATTTATAGAAATAAAATATTTGAATAAGGATAATTTCCGGACTGTAGCAGAATTTTATGTGAATAAAAATTTCCTTGGCTTAATAGGTCAAATATTTTTATTTTCTATTGTTTCTACATATGTTACGGAGAATAGAATTTTTTCATCTTCAGGTGCAGTCAATTTATAAAATTTATAGGGACGAATACAAACAGTTTAAAATTGTTTTAAAATAATAAAACGCTATCTTTCTATTTCACATCGTGTAAAGGTGTATTCGAAATGAAATGAGTTCCGCAGAATTCAGGGAGTTCGTGGAAATCTCTCAAGAGGTCAGAGAAATGTAACTGCTTTTTTTTATAACATTCAAGAAAGCAATAAAAATTAACGACCCGTTAGAATTAAAAAATAACATAAACTTTTATTTGAAATAATTTTTATTTTAGTTGCAAATAATTCAGTAAGAAAAAGTTAAATTAAAATATATATTATTCCACTTGTCAAGCAGATTAAAGATATGCTGCATTAGAGCAGCAAATTTATTGTTATTTAAAAACAACCAAATTTATCGTTAAGCAAATAGGTAGTGGATACAAACAACTTTCGTTTGTAAGCATTATGCTTTAAATAAAACATAATGAAACATTTTTATGTTTTATTAATTTATTAACACCCCGTACATTTGATCTAAGATTTTTTATGCAATCTTATTTTCTAGAAAAGCAAAATTTTTTGTAAAGAATGAACAACTTTTGGTCATAAAATAATAATAACGATTTTTCTACACACTATGTTCATATTTTTTGACATTCTTCAATGGTAGGTACTTTGACTAAAGTTTAAATATTTATAAAGTTTAGATTCGGTTTTAGGTTTTGTGCTTTTTATAAACAATATAATTTTCTGAAAAATTAACAATAAAAATAGTTTTCCATATGGTGCAGACTGTATACATATTACATTAAACCCACGAGGTCCAATTTTATCATCTCGACTACCATCATCTGTTGGCAGTATCCAATTGGCACTTCCATAAGGGGTGATTGATACCTAGTAAGTTCTTCATTCATAAAAAAAATATGGTGTAGGAACGCGCTTCACCAAAATATAAATTATTAAATTTATGGTGGTATAATGTGATATTCCGCCAATTTTTTATGTAAAAATAAATGTGAAAATTTAAAAGAAGATATATCAAAAGACATTTGAGGTGTGGGCTTTTAGAAACAAGCAGAAATGTTACTAGAATTTATGAGGGTTGACTGACCTATTAATAATGATAAAAAAACATTTAAACCCTTATTACTCTAATTTTTAAGACTTCATTCATACAGCTTCATTGACGAAATTAATACGAGTACACAGAAAAAAAGGTGTACTATATTCAAGAAAAATGGTCTTATTTCAATGCTTTGTTGTGTTTGTATATCCGCAAGTAAAACTCGCCTTGATTTGAAACTGTCGTAATACTTGTTCAACAATAGCTAAAAGCCTTGCTTCAAGATTAAAATCAACTTGCCCTAACTAAAATACCTCTAATTAAATGAAGAGTATCTATTGCTTAATTGCAGTATTATGTACATCTTAAATGAAATAATCTTACAATTTTTTTAAATATACTTTATATTCAATATTACCTTGTTCTTATATGCAATACAACTAAATTTGTTACAATAATAATATGACTTATTTCAAGAAATGTTAATATTGGTTTTGACATATATAATTGAATTACAAATAATTTCTAACAAAAAGTAGGACGCAACCCTAACGATACGACGCAAAATTGTTAGAAAATGGACAATAGGATGAACACGTGCTAATGCCAATTTGTCAGATTCTCTATAAATGCGTTGTATCTCTGGCATTCGAATAATAAGTATCATATCTCAACATGTACCAGTCATACATCTACTTCACCAGTGCAGTGGTTTCATTTTAAAATAAGTTTCAGCTGGCAACACCGTGCAGTGAATTTGTACTCGCTAATCTTTTGTGAAGTACATAGGTTTTTGATTCGAATTTTTTTATTATTATTAAAAACAATTAAAGGCTGAGAATTAGGTTCTATATTGCCTAAAAATTTACAATAACTTGTAAACATTAGCAAATTATTATGGTTTGAAGATAATTAATTGTTCATAAAAAAGTCTAATCTATTTTAAACATGTTTATCGATGTGGAGTATAACATCATTGGGCAAGCTGTTCCAAACAAAGATTCTGTTTGTTAAAAAATATTGTCTGTATTTAGTCCTATAGTTTTTTTATTTTTGTTCTAAAATTTAAATGCTTTGAATCGAATCTTTTTATAACATTGAATCAAGTTTGAGACAGGCATGTTAAATCTTGCACACAGGCATGTTAAATGCCTCAGCGGGATATCCATGTTTATTCTTAATCATTCATATGTAATATTGTGATAAAATTTCACATGTATATGTACTATTAGCAATAAACATTATTTTATTTTTTTATTTTTATTTAAGAGCATATCATACTTACAATAAACGTAAGAGCTTTCTTGAATTAAATAACAATTTTAGACTCGAGTGAAATAATTTATTCTCAGATTAATTATTATAAATCTTAAAATACAAGATTATGCCTACACTTCACTCAACATTTAGTATTATTATTGTATCTAGAAATATTATTTGAAGCAAACTCTGCTTTATTTCAAACAAATATAATCTTCCAAGTGTAAAGCTCTTCTTGAATGTGGATAATAATTTTTTTTTGTGTAGTTTCAGATTTTTCTATTTATTATATTATCTGTATCAGGCTCTGACTGTAAACGCCTCTACAAATAGTGTTTTCCAAATTATATTTCTCGAGTTGAAAAATTCTATTAATGATGACCCAAAGTTTTTTTTTATTATCATAAAAATTAAAAAGCGAATGCTTTTTAAAAAACATTGCTTGATAATAACATTGGCAATACTGATCAAGAAATTAATGACTTATTTGCTGAATATTTTCCCACGGAATTGAGGTCAAGTTTTGCTGTTTCTGACGCATTTCTGACTTGGCTTGGAGGCTACTCAAAAAACAGTTCAAATGTTGAAGATAAATGATAGTTTATCCATTCAATATGACATACCCCAGGAGTTCTACAATGGTCATATTTTTGCTGATGACTGTAAAAGATCTTTACAAAAACATACCACATATTCCTCAGACCAAAATAAGTCGATTTAAGTAAAATTACCTTAGTACAAAGTTGCTTCGTTTGGGCTCCAGAGGGCCTTGAAGTTACAATTTTTAAATCGTTTTTCCCATATAAATTTAAAACGGCATATGCGATTTTGCTGAAATTTGGTATATTGGTAGAGTTTTATGTGGCAAAAAAAATGGTATCAAAATTTTGTCCGATAATAATACATAGGCGTAGAACTTGATTTTTTAAATAATTGCACCTTTAAAAATTCTACGCCAATGGAAGAAAACGAGTTTGAGTATGAAATTTAGATTGCGCAACTCATTTACTTTAAAAAAGGTACTCTTGATAAGACTCGATTACTCTCATGGTTTTCGCTAAATTTCTGTTTTAATAATTTAGAGTGTATAGGTTTCACAAAAATATTTATTTACAACATAATCAAAATAGAGATTTTACAAAAATTGTTCAAAATGTTCACCATTTTCACGCATACAAAGATTTATACGTCGAAGAAAATTAAAAGGTATCCTTTCCATAACTTCTTCATCACTTCTAAGATTGTTTATTGCATCTTGAATACGTTGCCAGAGTTGTTCCTCATTTTCTACAGGTTCTCTGTAAACTGTGGAATTCAGATGTCCCCATACAAAGTAATCCATCGGTGTTAGGTCTGAGGAACGTGGTGGCCAGTTTACAGGTGCGTCATTACTTCTGCCTATCCATTTGTGTGGATATTGTTCATTCAAGTGGTTTCTAACGTTTAAAGAAAAATGTGGTGAAGCTCCATCTTGCATAAACCACATATCTCTCCGAAGTTGGAGAGGTAAATCTTCTAACAATTCTGGCAACGTATTTTGTAGAAAATCCAAATAATTTTCTCCAGTTAATCTTCGTGGAAGTATGACAGGACCAACAATGAAATTACCAATTATTCCAGCCCACACATTAATTTTGAATTCGTACTGAAAATGGTTTACCTTTATTGCATGCGGATTTTCAACGGCATAAACATGTTCATTATGGGTATTAGTTATACCTCTTCTTGTAAAACCCGCTTCATCGGTAAAGAGAACCTTCTTGACAAAGTTTGAATCTCTTTCTCTTTGCATATTAACAAATCGACAAATACCCAAACGAATTTGAGGATCATGGACTAATAATTCTTGTACTGGCTTCTTATGGTATGGATATAGCAATTGTTCTCTAATCACTTAATGAACGACATCTTTACTTACTCCTAGTTCCCTTCCAATTCGTCTGGTGCTTAATTCTGGATCTTCTTCAACACGTTCTAAAATGTCTTCTTCAACTTCAGGACTCCTTACAAAACGTTCTCTTCCATTATCAACAGTGTTGGGAGCAAAGGAA